GGTAAAGATGCTTGAGCTGAGATTCAGGCTCAAAGGCAGATCCAGCTCCAGGATCAAAGGAGCCGTGTCTCTGTGGGGCCGCTTGCTCATAATGAAAGAACATTGGCCCTGGACTTGGCCAGACCTGGGTTTAAATTATGACTTTGCTGCTCTGCAGAGTTATGTGACCCGTACAAACCTGGACATGCTCCTTCCCCTGGCATTTTCATCTACAAAATGCAGATGGTGATGCCTGCCTCAAAGTGTGGCTGGAAGAGTGACAAGCAAGAGCCCGGCCCAGAACTCTTCCTCAGGCACTCAGGACCTGTAACACCTTGCATTCTGGGGCTCCCTCAGCACCATGGTTCCCACATCTTGCTGAGCAGGCTCATGGGTTGGGGGGAGGTATCTTCAATTAGCTCAAGGAAAGTTGAGAAATCCTCAATCAAATTCAGTTTCATTTTGAAATGGATAGTATTATTAGCAATCAAATAATAGTATCCTAAGCATTTCACCTATATATGTTCATTTCATTTCCCCAATAACCCTATGCAGTAAAAATGATTATCATCCTCATTTCTCACATAGAGAAATTGAGGCACAGAGAGGTCACAGAGCAAATATCTAAATGGAGCTAGAATTCAAGACCGAGTAGTTTGGGGCCAGCCTCATAATTTTAGCCATGATGATTTACTGCATCTCTGAAGGGTAGAATTAAACCAGTGATCCCCAAACTTTAGCATGTGTCTGAATCACCTGGAGGGCTTGTTGAAACGCAAATTGCTGGACTCCACCTCCAGATTTTCTGGTTCAGCTGAAGAATTTGCATTTCTAACAAGTTCTCAGGTGATGCGATGCTGCTGACCCCACTTTAAGAATCACTGACTTGGGGATTAAATAGACCCCCTTGAGTCCAGAGGCTAATTTTTGTTTTTCCCTAACCTATCCAGTCACAGGAATGAGGAATGAGGGTTGATCTCATACAGAGGCCGAAAACAAACCACAGTAAAAATCATACTCATATTTTCCAAATGCCTCAAGCCTTGGCACATGCTGTTTTGTCTGCGATCTCATCTAAGCCTCACAGTAACTCTGTGAGTTAAGTGGAGAATGGATTTTTTCCCCGTATGATGTTATCTTTCTCCTATTTTAAAGAAGGGGGGATGTGGCTGGGCTACTGTCACCCAGGGAGATAGTTTTCAGGAGACTGGGGCTGGAATCTCAGCTTGTGACTCATCATACTATGGTAGCCTCGTTACAGGAGTTCCAAAAACCTCTGTGCCTTTCTCCAAGTCCCATCCCATTCCCAGGCTATAATCAGAATTTCCTCCTTAAAAATGGGCTTCCCAGGTGGTAAAGAATCCACCTGCCAATGCAGCAGATGCAAGAGACATGGGTTCAATCCCTGGGTTGGAAAGATCCCCTGGAATAGGAAATGGCAGCCCGCACCAGTATTCTTGCCTGGGAAATCCCATGGACAGAGGAGCCTGGTGGGCTACACTCCAAGGGGTCACAAAGAGACGTAATTGATCATACACACACGTAACAGAGGTCACCCCTTCCTTTCTTTTTTTTTTTCTTCTATTAATTTTTTTTTTATCTCTTAGAGCAGTTTTAAGCTCACAGCAGAACTGAGTGGAAAGTATAGAGAGTTCCCATATACCTCCTGGCCCTACACATACACAACCTCCCCCGCTATCATCACTATCCCACGCTGGCATGGAATATTTGTTATAATCAGTGGACCTGCACTAACACATCATTATCACCCAAAGTCCACAGTTTGCATTAAGGTTCACTCTTGGTGCTGAACATTCTATGGGTTTTGACAACTGTATAGTGAGATGTGTCTACTATCATAGCATCATACAGAATAGTTTCACTGCGTAAAACTCCTTTGTGTTCTATCTATTTATTTCTCCCTCCCTCCAACCCCTGGCAACCACTGATTTTTTACAGTTTCCATAGTTTTGCCTTTTCTAGAAAGTCATATACTTGGAATCATATAGTATGTAGCCTTTTTAGATGGGCTTATTTCCTTTTAAGTTTCCTTCATGTCTTTTGTGTCTTGATAGCTCATTTTTTTGTTGTTTTCTTTTTTATTGTCCTATTTTCAATTTCCTTGACTCATGTGCAAATGTTAGTATTTCTATTTTTTTCTTTTTAAAAAATTTATTTATTTTAATTGGAGGATAATTACTTTACAATATTGTGATGGTTTTTGCCATGCACCAACATCAAAAAATATGGAACACCTCACAAATTTTCATGTCATCCTTGCACAGGGGCTATGCTAATCTTCTCTGTATCGTTCCAATTTTAGTGCATATGCTGCTGAAGCGAGCACGATAGCTCATTTCTTTTCAGCACTAAATAATAGTCCATTGTCTTCCAAGTTTTGACAGTGATGAATAAAGTTGCTATAAACATCCATGTGCAAGTCTTTAAGTAGAAATAAGTTTCAACTCATTTGAGTAAATACCGAGGAGAGCAGTTGCTGGATCATATGGTAAATGTCTGTCTGGTTTTGTAGGAAACTATAAAACTGTCTTCCAAAGTGGCTGTGCCATTTTGCATTCCTACCAGCAATGTGTGATAGTTCCTGTGGCTCCACTTCCTCACCAGCATTTGGTGGTGTCAGTGTGTTGGGTTCTGGTCATTCTAATAGGTGTGTAGTCCCTCCCTTCCTTTTAAAATGTACTTGCTGGAAGCTAACAAATGAAATGTCCGTTACATACCATTGGTCAGAACTCTGTCATGTGACCACATTTAGCAGCAATGTAGGCTGGGAAGTGTAGTCTTTATTGTGACTGGCCAAGTGGCCATTTGAAAAGTCAGGGTTCTAATTGCTAAAGGAAGAAAAGAGAATGGGTGGAGAGCCAACCAGCAGCGTCTGCTCTGCTGCAGGGAAGAGAGGCCCTCTTAAACTAGTTTGAGCTGTAAGGGGAATTTGTTGGTAGATTCAGGGGTATTTCATGGAGGCCCAAGGACAGGAAGCATGGAAGGGCCTCTGAGAGTGAAGGATCTGAAAAGTTGTCGGAAACCAGGGCAGCTCTTTTCTTGTGCCTCTCTGTGGCAGGGTGGGTCTCATTTGCTTCTTTCTACACATCTGCTTTGTTCTTTTCTCTTTGCCCATGGTAGGGAAGGTGTCCCAGCTTAAACACTTCCAGTCAATTAGCTGGCTTTCCAGAAAGTGAAACAGTGAAAGTGAAGTCACTCAGTCGTGTCCGATTCTTTGTGACCCTACAGACTGTAGCCCACCAGGCTCCTCCGTCCATGGGATTTTCCAGGCAAGAATACTGGAGTGGGTTGCCATTTCCTTCTCCAGCGGATCTTCCCAATCCAGGAATCGAACCAGGGTCTCCTGCGTTGCAGGCAGATTCTTTTCCAACTGAACTATCAGGGAAACCCAAACTAAACCCTTTATGTGCATCATCTCATATGTACAATCCTCATAATTGTCCTGAGAGGTGGGCATTATTATTTGCTGCATTTTACAGACAGCTGATCAGGGTGCTCAGAAAGAATAGGAGCTTGCCCAAAGTCACACAGTATCTGGGCAGTGGATCTGCACTTCAAGACCAGACCCCTCTCCCTCCAGAGGCTTCCCACATCCCCAAGGCTTCCAGAACACTCCGTTGCTTCCAAGATCTGTGTCCTATGAATTTCGTTTAAAATCTTTGTAGATTCCATTCCAAATATGTTCGCTAACCCTTGGCACATTGAAGTAACTCTTTGGAGATCACATTTTGATCCCATTATAGTCACTGGAAAAAACGTGGCGGGGCTGGGATCAAGATGGGGCCATCATGTGTGGATGGAGCACTGCCCCAGGGCACCCTCTGGAAGCCCAGCTCAGCTCTTGCCCCACTGTTTGACTCTGGGCGAGACTCCCCCACCTTGGCCTTGGTTTCCCCACCTGTGGATCTGTGGGCCCTTTGCAGCCCTAATTCTGGCATTTCCCACTTGACTGCATTTCATGAGGGTTTCATGAGACTGGCAATTTCCCTACCCCACTAAAACAGGAGTGTGTCTAGGAGGTTTCCATCTGGGTTGAGCCCCCAGGAAAATGTGACTCCTGCTTCTCTCCATTACATCTTCTGGCCACCCTACAGTCTGACTGTTTGTTCTGCAACCCCTGGACTTTGGGGTTAGGTTGCCGGATATCATCCCACCAGTTCTGTCCAGAGGGGGCTCAGGGTCCCGTCTCCACTGGTATCCCGGCCTCTTCCTCCTCATCCTCACGTGACTGCTTATTGAGCCTGGGGTGTGGGGAACAAGTGTTCCCCAGCTGAATCTTTCAAGAATATAGAGATGTCGGGAATTCCCCTGGGAATGCAGTGGTTCAGAATCTGCCTTCCAGTGCAGGGAATGTGGGTTCAATCCCTGACCGGGGAGCTGAGATCCCACATGCCGTGGGACAACTAAACCCACGCGCCGCCAACTTGAGAAGCCAGCTCACCACAACTAGAGAGAAGCTGGTACACTGCAATGAAAGATCCCACATGATGCAACAAAATTACCCACATGCCACCACTAAGACTTAACCCAGCCAAATAGAATAATAAATAAGTATATAGAGATGGCCACATTCTTTCCTCTGGTATTTTGCTAAGTCTCCCGTATATATTCAGCAAACCATTCATTCTCTCAGCAACTCCTTAGTGTCATCCCCGTTTTGCAGAGGAGGCATCCGAGGCGCAGAGAAGTGAATAGATGTGTCTAGGTTGACACACCAGTTAGTGTCACAGCCGACAGTCAAACCCAGCCGGGCATACCCCACGACGCCACGTGCCTTGGGATCACTGCCTTTACTTGTCCCGCAAGTCTTCCTGGAGGGGTGTGACTGGCCCGTGGCTTCCTGTGTGGTCTGGGTGAGGGAGGGTGGTCTGTTTATGTTTGGTGAGGGTGCAGGGGGGCCCTAGGGAGGAAACTCTGTGTGTGTTTGGAGGGCGGGATCACGGAATCGGGCAGCCCTCCCAGCTGAGCATCCCTGAACCTCTGTTCACATTTGCTTCCAGGTGCTGGAAGGAGACCAGGCCATCTTGCAGAGAATCAAGAAGGCCATGCGTGCGATCCACAGCTCCGGCCTTGGTGAGTGAGCCTGCCGGTGGCAGCCTGGCCAAGGGAGCCCCGTCCCCGGCCTCAGCCCGGACCTAACTCTGCACCTCCACAGGCCACGTGGAGAACGAGGAGCAGTACCGAGAGGCCGTGGAGTCCTTGGGCAACAGCCACCTGTCCCAGAACAGTCATGAGCTGTCCACCGGCTTTCTGAACTTGGCCGTGTTCACCCGCGAGGTGGCCGCGCTCTTCAAGAATCTGGTGAGGCCCTGCCCACCACCCATCGGCCTCAGCCCAGGCTCAGGGCAAATCTAGTCTGGTGGCTTAAAACTCTGACCTGGAAAGGGCTGGTTTCCATCCTTCTTTCAGCTTGCCCTTGACCTCTAGCCGCCCTTGACCTCTGACCCATGACCCGAAGTCCCTTTCCACTTCTGACCTCCCGTTTGCTTTCTTCGTCCTCTCTGACTTCCTGTCGGTGTCTCCCCTTCCCTTTCTCCCTCCCTGCCTTCCTCCTCCTCCTCTGTGGTGAGCACCCAGGAGCAGAGAGGTCTCACAGTCAGGAAGAGCCCAGCGAGGGAGGGCTCCCTGGAGGAGGCTTGAGAGAGGGGAAGGCAAGCTCTGGTTCCTGTCTTTGCACCACCGCCTCTCCTTCACCGGCTTTGTACTCTGCTTTCGCGAGCACACCTACTTTGCCCTCAAAGCCTAGAACGCGCCTCCTCTCAGTAAACCTCTCACTCCCGCACGTGGCCCGGTGGCCTCCGGGTCCTTCCTGAGATGGCTTTGCTCCCAAGTCCGCACCTCGAGGCCACCCCAAGACCCCAGCTCTTCCCGGACAAGCACGGCTCTCAGCACTTCACGTGTGTTCACATCCATCCTGGCGCACAGCCCTGTGGGGTTGGTTTTACCATTGTCCCCTCTGCACCTGTTGGGAGACTAGGACGTGAGGTTAAGTGCCTCACCTGAGGTCACACAGGTGGAGTTGAACCCAGCATCCGAGCATAAGTAGCCTGCTGGTACTGCCTCCCAGGAAAGCCCCTCTTCCTCCCCGGGCTCCGTAGCTTTAGGGCTGGCTTTCATGGCTGAAGTCCCACCAGGGCCCTCTCTGGCAGGTGAGGACCACATCATCTCTGTAAGGCAAGTTGCGTAGTAATCAAGCACCCAGACCTCAGGCTTAGACTCAGGCCTTGAATCCCTGCTTTGCTGCTCACGAGGTGTATGACTCTGAGCAAGTCACTCAGTCTGCTTGAGCCTCATCTGTAACAGGGGGGTGAAAGGGACCTCCGTGGTGGTCCAGTGGATAAGACTCCATGCTCCTAATGCAGGGGGCCAAGTTTTTATCCCTGGTCAGGAAGCTAGATCCCACATGCTGCAACCAAGACCTGGCAAGCCAAATAATAAATAAATATTTTTAAGAATTAAAATGGGGATAACAATGGCTCCCACCTCACAGAGCAGAGATGAGGACTTCTCAAGTTGAGCACCTGCTCCAGGGAAAGTGCTCAGCAAACGCTAGCTAATGCCATCTGTCGTCATTGTAGCTCTGTGTAGCACTGTCTTGCACGCTGTCCTGCAAGTAGAGGCCTTTAACTGTGTTCGGGTTCAACCGAATCAGTGAACAGTGAACAGGGGCTCCTTTGTCTTTACTCCCCCACCCCTTGTTTCGGTCAGACTAATGTTTGTTGAGGGTCTACTCCGTGGTGGGCACTGTACCAGGGCCTGTGACACAGGGGAGAGTCAGGTTCTGTCTTGGAGAGCCATATAGTCCAAGCGATGGAAACTGAGGTGTGAGATGACTCCAAGCAAGATCAGCAGTGTGGCACAAACTCAAGGACCCAGCAACTTGGGTCGGAGGCCTAGAACTGCCATGGCTCAGAAAAGAGGAGATCAGCTTAGGCCATGGGAAGAAGTCATCAGGAAGGCTTCCTGGAGGAGGAGAAACTTGAGCTATATCTTGACAGGGGGGCTGAAATATCACATAGGCTGTTTTAATTTGCCAAATCACAGAAATTCAACTCAACCTAGGTTTTGGTTTTTTTTCCTTTTTTTAAATAAGTCTTTTTCTCTCTTCCAGTCTTTTTTACTTCTTTTGGTCATGCCACACGACTTGTGGGATCTTAGTTCCCCGACCAGGGATTGAGCCTGGGCCCGCCTTGGCTCTGGCCGTGAAAGCCCTGAGTCCTAACCATTGGACCACCAGGGAACTCCTCGGGTTAATTTTTTGTTTTATTATTGTTTTATTTTTGGCTGTGCTGGGTCTTCGTCATTGCACTGGCTTTTCTCTAGTTGCAGAGCGGAGGCTACTCTAGCTGCTGCGCCTGGGGGTCTTGCTGCAGTGCTTCTCTTGTTGCAGAGCACTTGGGCTTCAGTACTTGCAGCACCTGCGCTCGGGAGTCGCGGCTCCCAGGCTCTAGAGCACAAGTTCAATAGCTGTCATGGACAGGTTAGTTGCTCCAGGGAATGTGGGATCTTTCTGCATCAGGGATCTAACTCATGTTTCCTGCATCGGCAGGTGGATTCTTTACCACTGAGCCACAACGGAAGCCCCTCGAGGTTGATTTTCAAAAAGAGAATTCACTGACCCCTGTAATGGGAAGACCAGACGTGCAGCTGGTTTTCTTTCTCTCAGGGTTTCTCTCTGTCTCTGCTCAGGGGCAGGATGGCCCAGCAGGCCCAGCTTCACACCTTGCAGAAGCAAGACATAGTCTTTCTCTTGTGACTTTGGCAGAAAAGTCCCAGAAAGTATCCTGATTGGCTGGCTTGGGTCACGTGCCTGTTCCTGAGCCCATCACAGTGGCCCCCCCGATGGAGCACTCTGGTCAACTGGGACTCCATGGTCAACCCACGTGACCATAGGGAAAGGGTTCTCACATTACAGGGGAGTGGAGAAACTCGCCAGACAGAAACAACAGGTGGGCCACACAGGTGGACCTCAGAGTCTGGCCAAGGAGCAGAGAAGGGCTGACCGCGATGCAGTGGAGCGGGCAGTGGAGGGACGACGCCCATCAGTCGGGGGAGGGCAAGAGCTTTCCCAGGAGTATGACCCGCCACCCCTGTGTACCCTTCCACTTTCTTGACTTTCTCTCCCCTGCCTCCTTCACCCCAGTGCTGTCCTGGTGATGCTTCACTGTACCCTGAGCCCTCGGGGGCTGGACAGACGTTCGCTCAAGGTGGGGTATGGGGGTCTCTGCTTCTTCCAGGTTCAGAACCTGAACAACATTGTGTCTTTCCCCCTGGACACTCTGTTGAAGGGGCAGCTGAGAGATGGACGACAGGTGAGTTTCCATGTGGGGAGGGGTGCCCCGAGGTGGTGAGATGGAGCGAGAAGTGGGGCAGGCAGGAGACCATAGCAGGGGACAGGGCTGGGCTGAGGACGGAGGCCAAGTGAATCTGTCACAGTGGGTGGGCTGCTGCTGCTGCTGCTAAGTCGCTTCAGTCGTGTCCGACGCTGTGCGACCCCATAGACGGCAGCCCACCAGGCTCCTCTGTCCCTGGGATTCTCCAGGCAGGAATACTGGAGTGAGTTGCCATTTCCTTTTCCAATGCATGCACGTATGCTAAGTCGCTTCAGTCGTGTCCGACTCTGTGCGACCCCATGGACAGCAGCCCACCAGGCTCCTCTGTCCATGGAATTCTCTAGGCAAGAATACTGGAGTGGGTTGCCATTTCCTTCTCCATCACAGTGGGTGAGCTGTCCCATATTATTGACCCCCAGGAAGACAGGAGGGCCCAGGTCTAGGGTGAGCCTAGGTGAGCCAGGGCCCTTTTGAAAATAGCTCAAGGAATCACAACAACCCCGTGAGGTGTGTTCTGTAGGTGCTCTCATCCCCATTTTGCGGTTGATAAAATTGAGCCTGGGGGGTTTGATAACCTGCTTACCGTCTACCCAGCTAGTCAGTGGGGGAGCCAGTATGGTTACTGTGCTGTCTGCACCAGGCAGCCCCTGGCTGGAGGCAAACCGGAGCTCAAAGAAGGTGACAGGATAATCTCCCTGGGAAGTCTGCTCCAGAAGGCCCAGGGGAGGAGTCATCCCCCCTTCCCCACCCCAACCTCTGCAGGCTTCCCTCCTTGCCCCTGGCTAAGCAACAGCCTGGAAACCAACCAAACCAGACCGACAGCTTTTTCACCTGGCGAACTGAGACACCTTAAATGTCGGGGCTGAATGTTCTGAAGGGTGTGAGCAGCCCGCTGGATGGGGCCCAGGCAAACTAGGCCAGGGATCAGTCAGGTCTCTCTGGCTTGCTGTGTGGCCTTGGGTAGACTTCTTAGCCTCTCTGTGCATATGTCCCTCAACCCGTACCTTCCTGTTGAAAGGATAAGCTAGAACCAGGCAGGAGAAAACAGTGGGACAAAGTTAGGGGAAGGATTCTGATCTTTATCCTCCCTCTTCTTTTTTTTTTTTTTCCATTTATTTTTATTAGTTGGAGGCTAATTACTTTACAACACTGCAGTGGTTTTTGTCATACATTGAAATGAATTAGCCATGGATTTACATGTATTCCCCATCCCGGTCCCCCCTCCCACGTCCCTCTCCACCCCATCCCTCTGGGTCTTCCCAGTGCACCAGGCCCGAGCACTTGTCTCATGCATCCAACCTGGGCTGGTGATCTGTTTCACCCTAGATATACATGTTTCGATGCTGTTCTCTTGAAACATCCCACCCTCGCCTTCTCCCACAGAGTCCACAAGTCTGTTCTATACATCTGAGTCTCTTTTTCTTTTTTTGCATATAGGGTTATCGTTACCATCTTTCTAAATTCCATATATATGTGTTAGTATACTGTAATGGTCTTTATCTTTCTGGCTTACTTCGCTCTGTATAATGGGCTCCAGTTTCATCCATCTCATTAGAACTGATTCAAATGAATTCTTTTTAATGGCTGAGTAATATTCCATGGTGTATATGTACCACAGCTTCCTCATCCATTCGTCTGCTGATGGGCATCTAGGTTGCTTCCATGTCCTGGCAAAAATATGGAACGCTTCACTAATTTGCATGTCATCCTTGCGCAGGGGCCATGCTAATCTTCTCTGTATCGTTCCAATTTTAGTATATGTGCTGCCGAAGCGAGCACCTCCCTCTTCTTCCTCATGGTGATCTCCATCTTCTAAGGGAGGGGACTCAGGGCAGACCCCCCCCCCCAAATAGCCCCAATAACCTAGGCCTGAGCCTACCAGTTCAGACTGATTACTGGCAACTGTGGGAAGAGGTCAGTTGGCAGAAGGGGCTCCGCTCTGAGAAGTGGGGTCAGTGGGGTTTAATTTGGGGTGAGGTTTGCAGTCAGGGCTAATGTGAACCTGGGTTGGTTGGAGGGTAGCTCTCAGCCTGCAGACACAGGGTGCCCCTAATTGTAGCAAAGTGTCCTGTCAGTTCCAGGCCCCAAGACCCTCTTTGGGCAAATTGTTTTTTTTCTGAACTACAGGATTCCAAAAAGCAGCTGGAGAAGGCATGGAAGGACTACGAAGCCAAAATGTAAGTGACTGTGGCCAGGGTGGTTTGTCTGGGAGAGTGATGCTTCTGTTGCAGCAGGAGGCTGGATATTGGGAGGAACCCAAGTGCTACCAGGGCGTGTCACTCAGAAGTGCGTGGCATCTCAGTCTCCAGAAATGTTTACAGGAGGGGGCTGGTTTATGCCCAGACCTTGAAAGGAGTCTGGGGGCTTGACCACGAGACAACCAAGGAGGAGCTATTGTGAAAGGACCCCAAGATGCTCCTCTCAGAGACCCTCCTGCTTGGTGGTGCCAACGTGGGTAGAGAGACAGAAAGGGGCATCCATTCACTGAACACCTCCAAGGGCCAGACATCCATGCTCACACTCACCCAGCCCTCTGAGGGAGATATTAGTATCCAAGTTATCACAGGAGGACTTAGAGGTTCAGAGAGGTTAAGTTACTTGCCCAGGACCATACAGTTAGGCAGAGGCAGAGCTGGGACTCATGTTCAGTGATCCTCTTTCTGCAACACCAGGCCGTATCTGTAAACATTTAGTTGGACACAGAGGAGGAAAGGCCATACCCAGGCCTCTTGGGTGCACCAACCGGATTTCTCACTAGCTGCTGGGACATTATGGCGACAGAAGGAGCCCCAGGTGCCCAGTGACCAACTCTCCATGAGTGGGGACTCCTTGGGTTCTGCCTTCTAAACTCTGTCCAAGTCCCGGCCCAGCAAGGCCCACTGAACCTCAAGGCACTGTTTACCCTTCTTTGTAAAACATTGGCTTCTCTTGCATTTTTCGAAAGCAGTATGCGTTCATTGTGAGTAACTTTGGAAACTATGAGGAAGTAGAAGAGGAAAAAATTTAAGTTATCCTTAGGGCCCTGCAGGGAGATATCTAGCACTCCTCTATTGTTAGAATTTTTTTCATAGTGTGGGTAGCACTGTAATTTCATCATTTTTAAAAAGTGGTGGAAGGGGAGTTCCTGGGTTGTTCCGGTGGTTAGGACTTGATGCTTTCACACCCAGTTCAGTCCCTGGTTGGGGAACTAAGATCCCACAAGCTGTGCGGCTTGGCCAGAACAAACAACAAAAATGTGGGGGGAGGGGAAAGGACCGAAAACCCGGAAGAAGAGCCTTCAGTTCTTTTCTTTCTTTTTTTTGGACATTCATTTTTATTTATTTGTTTATTTAACTGTGCCGGGTCTTCATTGCAGCATACAAACTCTTAGTTGTGGTATATGGGATCTAGTTCCCTCCTGCTGCTGCTGCTGCTAAGTCGCTTCAGTCGTGTCCGACTCTGTGCGACCCCAGAGACAGCAGCCCACCAGGCTCCCCCGTCCCTCGGATTCTCCAGGCAAGAACACTGGAGTGGGGTGCCATTTCCTTCTCCAATGCATGAAAGTGAAAAGTGAAAGGGAAGTCGCTCAGTCGTGTCCGACTCTTCGAGACCCCATGGACTGCAGTCTACCAGGCTCCTACGTCCATGGGATTTTCCAGGCAAGAGTACTGGAGTGGGGTGCCATTGCCTTCTCCACTAGTTCCCTGACCAAGGATCAAACACAGGCCCTTGCATTGGGAGTGTGGAGTCCTAGCTACAGGACCACCAGGGAAGTTTTGACCCTTCATTTCTAAGCCTAAAGTATTAACATCTATCTAATCATTTTCCTATGTATAAAGAACTATTTTTACAGAATCAATATCATAATAATTATACTGGGGGGTTTTTTGCTTAAAAATACATCATGACCATCTTTCTACATCATTACATATTTTTATACAATGTTACATTATTATTATTATTTATTTATTATTTTTGACTGCACTGCATCTTCATCGCTGCGCTCGGGCTTTCTTTAGTCGTGGCAAGCGGGAGCTCCTCTCTCATTTCGGTGTGTGGACCTCTCATTGCGGTAGCTTCTCTTGTTGCGGAGCACAGGCTTTAGGGTGTGCTGGCTTCAGTAGCTGTGGCACACAGACTTAGTTGCCTGTGGCACGTGGAATCTTCCTGGACCAGGGATCGAACCTGTGTCCTATGCATTGGCAGGCGAATTCTTCATCACTAGACCACCAGGGAAGTCTAATAACGTTGCTTAAATGGGTGCACTGTGTCTCAACATATGCACCACCCACCATGTATTTAATCTGCCCCTGTTGTTCGGGAGGCATCCTTGGAACTACATCCTTGCTCCCACCCATGATTCTGTAGAATCTTTCCAAGAAGTAGTTCCTGGAGCATTATTGTTCTTCAAGCTCCCAGCACCACGGGGACCTCCCTGAGTCCGACGGAAGGCTGAAACGCCTCCTCCACCTGGGTCTCCAAGAGCACCCCAGCTGTGGGTGTAGAGCTTGTGGTGAAGGATGTGAGACTGTGATGGGCGTGGCTACCCGTTCTCATCAGAGGCCCAGGGAGGGGTGTGGACACGCAGGCGGAAGACCTTTCTCTTTATGATTTGGTGTGGGATCACATAGCCTTCATCTTCCTGAGTTACCTTGACTGAGCCCCCAGCCTTTCAGGACATCATCCAGTCCAACAATCCCCAAACCCCTGGGCCACGGACCAGTACCAGTCCTGATAGGAACTGGGCTGCGCAGCAGGAGATGAGTGGCAGGCAGGAGAGTGAAACTTCATCTGTATTTACACCTGTTCCCCATCGTTCATATTACCACCTGAGCTCTGCCTCCTATCAGATCAGCGGCGGCATTAGGTTCTCATGGGAGGGCAAACCCTAACCCTAAAGTCAAGGCAGAATATCCTGAGATTGCCACAGAACAGAAATGAAGTTGCACAATAAAGGTAATGCACTTGAACCATCCCCAAACCATCCTCACCCCTGGTCCATGGAAAAATTGTCTTCCACAAAACCTGTCCCTGGTGCCAAAAACACTGGGGATCACCGATCTACTAAATAGAAAGAATAAGCACTACATTGCTGACCTCCCCAAGCAGCTGGGCTTTTACCAGATTGATATATTGATCTCGCATGAGGTTTCATTTAAAGAAAAGACTGTGGAACGATGGTGAGAGAGGTTTGGCTGAGGTTATGCAGTGAGTTATCAACAGGGCCTAGGCTAGAACCCAGGATTTCTGAGTCTGGTGCACTTCCTGCCACCCCACGTAGCCTCCTGTCTCCTCCTCATGTTACATAAGTTGAGCCATATGTCCTGGCACAAGTGACTGTGTACATTCCTTTTATGAGGGTTTCAGGTGTAGCTGGATATTAGCAAACCAGAAGTTGCTGTGTAATCCACTTCATTCTTACCAAACCAGTCTGGGTAGCAGCTGCAAGGACCCAGGGTCCTGATAAGATCTGCTGATTAGCTACCAGGTTCTCACACACGGGTTCTTCCCATAGGAGGGTCCCCTCCCCACTTGGGGCGGCTAAGAAAGGCATCCCAGGCCCTGGGCAAGGGACACAGTTATCTAGGCTATTCCATTTTCAGGGGTGTTTCCTCATCTGAAAAATGGAGCCAACATTACTTTCCAGGGCTGATGTGGAAATGAAATGAGATGCAGTACACAGTGCCTGGCACTGCAGTTCAGCCCATACTTATTTGCCCTCTTGTTGAGCCAGAACTGGGGCCAGAATAACAGCATAGGGTAGACAGGCAGAAGCCCAGACCTCTGCTCCTAGCATTTCCCCCACCAGCCTGGGATCTTGGGCCATTACCTCCCTTCTCTGGGTCTCAGCTTCACCTTCTGTAAAATAGTTTCTGACCGTGATCTATCAGAAGAGACACTGTGACCGTCACCAGCTGGGGGAAGCCAGGCAGGGAAGGAGGGATGGAATTAATCTAAGCCACAGTGCTGGCTGCCAGCACCCTCCCTAAGGCTCTAGCGTCAGGCCGACTTGGGTTCAAATCTTGGCTCTAGTTCTTAGTGGCTGTGTGGCTTGGACAAGTCACTTATCATTTCAGCCTCAGGCTCCTTGTCTATAAAGTCATGATTCCTGCCTCACGGGGTTGTTGCTTTAGTGTGTGAAGGGTCTAGCAGAGCACACAGCACAAAATTATCGCTTAAAAATAATTATTAAGGGACTTCACTGATGGCCCAGCGGCTAAGACTCCATGCTTCCAATGCAGAGGGCTTGGGTTCCATATCTGGTCAAGGAACTAGATCCCACATTCCACAACTAAAGATTCCACATGCCTCAACTGAGACCCAGTACAGCCAAATAAATAGATATTTTTCAAAATAAATATTAATAATAGCAGCTAATACTTATACTTCCTTAAGAGCTTCCTTTGTGCCAGCTGCTGTGATAAGCTCCTTACATCAGTTATCATTCTTGGAAGGGAAAGGGGCTGTCATCCCCAATTTCTAGGTTGAGTAGTGAGGGGAAAAAAATAACCACCACAATCCCTGCCTTAGTGGATCCACTGGCTTGTTAGCAAGAAGAAAGTCCCAAAATAATGAAAATACAAAGTAAAAGTGCCCTAGTGATGGTATCAGCACAGAGGCGGCAGAAGAGGCACGTGGTTTTGTTTGGGTGGAGAGAAGGGTGATTGGAAAAGGCATCACAGGAGAGGTGGTTCAAGGGGTGAGGTTGGCAGGTGCACGGTTCCTTTTGATTCCTTTCCTCTCCCGTCTCCCCCATCCCCGCCCCCGACATCCTCACTCTGCCGGTACCTGTCTCTCACCCCCTGGATCACATTAGACAATGGCCGTGGTCCCCTTCTCCAGTTGTCTCTGTCTCCTTAGTAACTGGCATTTCAGCACTTTCCACTATTTTATTTCACTCCTGCTGCAACTCCATTCAAAGGAAATTAAAAAAATATTCTTAAGGTTTGAAATGTTTAAGAAACACTGGTGATCCTTTGAGGACAGGGAGGGAATGGAACTTGTTATTTTCTTGGTGGGGGTGTGTGTGTTGCAATAAAAGCACTCCCAGCTATTAGTGTGAGGTGATTAGTGTGATTAGTGTGAGGTGAGGTCATCTTGGGTGACTATATCAGACTTTGTAGGGAAATCTCTATAATTACCATAGCTAAGGCTGAAGGACAGAGCTATGATAATTCACAAGGCCCTGTATCATACTTTACGGCTTATCTTCATCCTGAACTAAATAGCCTCTATCCTTTAATCTCCATTAGACCCTGCATTAAAAAAAAATTATTGGAAGTGAGTGAAAGTCGTGTCCAATTCTTTGCGACTCCATGGACTATACAGTCCACGAAATTCTCCAGGCCAGAATACTGGAGTGGGTAGCCTTTCCCTTCTCCAGGGGATCTTCCCAACCCAGGGATAGAACCCAGGTCTCCCGTATTGCAGGCGGGTTCTTTACCAGCTGATCCACAAGGGAAGCTCAAGAATACTGGAGTGGGTAGCCTATCCCTTCTCCAGCGGATCTTCCTGACCCAGGAATCAACCCGGGGTCTCCTGCATCGCAGGCAGATTCTTTACCAGCTGAGCAATCAGGGCAGCCCTAAATAGGAAGTACCCTACACTAAAAAAGAGTATCTGAAGGAATCACCAGGTTATGACTCTAATCATCAGTGTTATTAGCAGCATCATAGTCCTGCCATTTATTAAGGGCCTTACCACACACCAGGGACTGTACTAAATGTTTCCAATGTGTTAGATCATTTGAGACCTAGGCAGTATTAGCCTTATTTCTGGAAATGGGGAAAGTGAGGTTTAGAAAGATGCATAAAGGCTAAATAAGCAAGGGAGCTGCCATAAATCCAAAATCCACATTTCTAGCCACTGTACTGGGCTTCCCTTGTGGCTCAGCTGATAAAGAATCTGCCTGCAATGCGGGAGACATGGGTTCGACCCCTGGGCTGGGAAGATCCCCTGGAAAAGGGAAAGGCTACCCACTCCAGCATTCTGGCCTGGAGAAATCCACGGACTGTATAGTCCATGGGGTCGCAAAGAGTTGGACACGACACTGTACTGAACTGTGGCTTCCTTTCTGTCCGTTTACTCTGGAGCAGGCTTTCCATGTCAGTGTATTCCCCATCCTTTTTTAACAGCTGCATAGGATCCCTATATGTGGCCATAGCATAATTTATTTAACCACTTCCCGTTGATAGACATTTAGCTTATTTTTTCATTTTCCCTGTTTACAGACATGGTAACAGTGAAGGCAGGAGCTCCCTTTGCCCTCCCCCCGTTTCTCTGCCCCCTCAGTCCCCTGTCCTGCTTAATGAGCTGCCAGGCTCATTGTTGCTCGGGCCTGGCCATCGCCTCTCTCTCTGCCGCTCATCTTCAGATCCAAAAAAAAAAAGCATCTGCCCTGACCCCCAAGCCTGTTCATAGGGTCAGTCCCCACCTAACTCCATTCCACCTAACTCTTCTGCCACAGACTCCCTCTCGGGGTATTATAAAGCTTTAGGGAAATGAAGAATCACCACTTCAAAGAAAATTAAAGACAAAACCACTAAAAACCCTGCAAAAGCCTGCTCTTAGAGCAGTGGCTTTTGCCCAGGGGTGATTTTGCACCCCTACCCGATCCCCCAGGAGATGTTTCTGGTTGTCACAACAAGGGCATCTAGTGGGCAGGGGTCAAGGATACCGATAAACAGCCTGTATTCACAGAATGGCCCCCACATCAAAGAAGTATCTGGTTAAAATGTCTGTAGTTCCAAGGTTGATAAACTGCTCTTCAGGTCTCCAGAGACAGATTGTGCAAATAAGCACCATCCCAGAGGTCTGAGGTCAGTAAAGCCTAGAACTTAAGACTGAGAACTCAGTTCTAGGCCATTGCTTCCTCCCTTTATAGATGGAAGACCTGCAGCCTAAAGAGGCCTCTAACACAGCTGCGGTGTCTTCTGTGTGTTAAGTCTTTTGCATCCTTTAGCTCATCAGGGTACAGATAAAAAGCCCCATTTTCCAGATGTGGACACTGAGGCTTAGAGAGGGGAAGTAATGCAGGTGTAAGGTTATCCCACATCTGTCTTCTCTGACACTCACTTGGAAGCAAAACTTATGCAAGTTGTCTCCTTCACACAGGCTCATGCATCCAGCCCCAGGTGTGGAAATACTCTCCTGGTTGGGAGTGAGTGGTCTAATGGGTGTGGGATTTCCAGGAAACTACTTGCCCACAGTTCTACCCAACCCCAAACAGGGGAAACCACCAACCCTGAGATCAGTAGGGGAAGGCCCAGCTTACTCTCAGCTACAGGGTGGGAAGTGCTTTCTTCACCTATAAAAGAAAAGAATCAAGGTTTTCCAAGCTCTAAATGGAAGCTCTGTGGTTCAGAAGACTGAAGGCATCTTGTGGTGCCTTCTAACCCCCATGGTCCTAGATCTCTTCCAGCAAACTCTGATCCCAATCCCACCTGGCCCCATGGGAGCCCATCCGCTCCCTGCATAGAAACCCTTAACTCCTTCCTATTGCTCTTGGGACAAAGACCAAGAACCTCAGCAAGGTCCGAATCAGGCCCTGTGCGGTCTGGCACCTGGAAGCACCTCCCTCCATCCCTGCTGAGCCCCATCTCTCCTGCCTCCAGGCTGTCACGTGGTCTGATCCTCCCACCCAGCCCTAGCTTCCTTAGACTTCAGATCTCAGCTCCAGCATCACTTCCTGAGAGGCCAGATGAGGTTGGATGCCCATTTTACTCTCCCCTCACTCTCTGCAAGGCTGTGATTTGATTCATGTCTTTCCCCGCTACCAGCCTGTAGGTTCTCTGCATCCACCTTGCTAATCATTGTCCCCCAACAGCTGGCACAAAGGAGGGCCCCCTCATCTGGTGTGCCCACACAGAGAGCAGCACGTAGGGGTGGTGGGACATGCAGGGGCTTAGGGAGAGTTGTTCAGGCCTCTCTTTCCTTGGGGTCTAGGGCCAGGCTGGAGAAGGAGAGGGACCGGGCCAGGGTGATAGGAGGGAGCAGCGGGGAGGTGGCCCAGGACACGCAGAGAGAGCGACGCGTCTTCCAGTTGCACATGTGTGAGGTAAGGGGGGCCCCAGGGCGAGGGCGGGGTGGGGTGTGTCTTCCAGTCTACATCCCTAAACCCTCGGGGGCCCAGTCACAGTCTTAGCCCAGGTCCTTGCCAGATGGCCCTTGAGATGTCACCCAGGTTCAGTCCTGGCCAGAGGGATTAGCCTGGGATGGAGACAGCAGCCTCTTGTCCCCAGGATTCTCTCTTGCTCATGTCACACATTTTGCCCTGCCCTCTCCCCAGTATCTGCTGAAAGCCGGGGAGAGCCAGATGAAGCAAGGTCCTGATTTCCTGCAGAGCCTCATCAAGTTCTTCCACGCTCAGCACAAGTAGGTTCCCCCCATGTCCCACCCCTATCCCCACAGTCTCTTGTCCCTTAACCCTTCAGGCGACCCAGAACAGGATCATCCCCAGTGTCTGGCAGACCCTCAAAGTTTCTACATGTGAATGTACCTCATTGGTAATGCTTTTTGCAGCTGCTGTTTATTGAATGTTCACCAGGTATTGGGCACTAAGTACTGTACACACCCCTTTGTGAGCAGCTACTGATATTATTCCCATTTTACAGATGCAAAAACTGAGGCTCAGATTTACTAAGATCACATAGCTAGAAAGTGGGATCTGGACCATCACACTGTACCACCCCCAGGTGCCCTGGGATCTTTAGAGCTCCTTCTCTCATACTTCATCTCACATTTTCATCTCTCTCTCTCTCTCTGGTCCCGTGCTTGGCCTCACACTCTTAGCTTTTTCCAAGATGGCTTGAAGGCAGCTCAGAGCCTGTCCCCCTTCATCGAGAAGCTGGCAGCCTCGGTACACACAGTAAGTCGGGTTTCACCCCCGAGAGTGTAGTCAAGCCCTCTGTCCTCCTGGGAAAATCTGTGGCTGTGGAAGAGCTGGCTCCTGCGGAGAGAGCAAGGCTGCTGCCCTGCTGCTCTGGGCATGAGCTCTGTGCCTGGCACAGCTGCCAGCTGATAACCGAGTCCTGCCCTTCATCCCATAGCTGCGTCAAGCCCAGGAGGAGGAGCTACAGAAGCTGACCCAGCTCCGCGACTCCCTCCGAGGGACGCTGCAGCTCGAGAGCAGAGAGGTCAGCCCCTAAACCTTCCCCGAACAAGTGCCCACCCCCCACCCAGGCCCACCCTGGAGGGAGAGAGAAAGGAAGACCCCACTGGGTCCCCTTAAAAAGGTCTCCCTGAAGGAGACTCCTGCAGAACGGGGCTCTTTGCCCCACATGCCCTGAGGTCTCCTTCACGTGTCCAAGCAACAGGAGAGTCTGAGCCGGAAGAACTCAGGAGGTGGTTACAGCATCCACCAGCACCAAGGCAACAAGCAGTTTGGGACAGAGAAGGTCGGCTTTTTGTACAAGAAAAGTGACGGGTAAGTGACTCAGAGAGCTCAAGTAACTTGCCCGAAGCCACACAGAGGGTAAATAATAGGGTTGAGGTAGGTGCCTGAAGGGCTTGTTCCTATTATTTGTTGAGGGTTCCAGGGCCCTCCATGCTGCAGTGCAAAATCATCAGAATCTTGGGCTCATGAACTTCTGCTGAACGTTGCAGTTCTTAATGTAAAGAGGGAGAATAGCAGCGCCAAACACTTTTTGGGCAGTCTCCATGGCCTCACTCTTAACCGTTGTAATATACTGAATATGCCTGGACATGAAAATGTTGGCTGTGCCTTGCTCCCTCGTGTGAAAAACAAAAATCAGGCTGTAAATGCAAAAGCCTTTATGGGATTCATTCATTAATTTTTTTTTTTTTACTAACTAGTCAGTTTTCATCAGAGAAAAATAACTTGGTTAAACCAGCTAATATTTACCTCTTATAGGAAAAGTGTTAAGTAGCTTTGACTATGGATTTGCTCATTTTATTTTGCATGCTAAGTTGCTTCAGTTGTGTCCAACTCTTTGCAATCCTGTGGACTGTAGCCTGCCTGGCTCCTCTGTCCCTGGACTTCTCCAGGCCAGAATACTGGAGTGGGTGGCCATGCTCTCCGGCAGGGGATCTTCCCCACCCAGGGATTGAACCCACATCTCTCATATCTCCTGCATTGGCAGGCGGGTTCTTTAACATTAGTGCCACCTGGAAAGTCCATCTTATTTTGGGAGTCTTAGTGTTTATCTTATTTTGTCTTTAACCATAATTCATCTCTTGTGGTCAAGAGCCTATTCCTTCTCTCAGACTAGGAGGTCCCTAAGGTTGCGAGCTGTGTCTCTTCCATCAGACTGGAAGCTCTCAGAGGGCCAAGGTCACATGGTCCCCTTTAGAATAAAGACTCCCAGAGAGTGGGGCTGTTTCCCCTATCTGACTGGGAGCTTTCTAAGGGCAGGGCTGTGTCTCCTTCATGAGAAGGGAGCCAGGGAGTGCGGAGTATAGGGGTCGGAGTCAGGGGACTGAGAAGATAAAGAAGTGGGACTGGAGGTCATACAGGTGGGGTCGGAGACCTGGTCCAGGACCTTATTCACTGATATTAGGTTTGAGCCTTGGGTGATGGTCTTTCTATCCCTCTGGACCCTAGAATTCGAAGAGTCTGGCAGAAAAGGAAATGTGGAGTCAAGTATGGCTGCCTGACCATCTCACACAGCACGGTGAGGCCTGGAGGATGGGGGTCTGAGGGCATGATGGTCCTCTCCTCCTGGTGTTCAGAACAGAGGTGGCAAGCCCTCCCTCTAAGATGTAAACCTGGATCCAGGGAGCTGGAGACCTCCTGTGGGAGGAAGGATGGGCTCCAAAGCCCCCAGGCTGGTCTTGGTCCACCCTCCACATCCTTGAGATGCTGGGAGAGGGGAGACATTAACTGGAACACAATTATTATGTCCATTTAACAGATTGGGAAACTGAGGCCTCAGAGTTTGGGAGGCCCAGAGGGTAACTGTACATCTGCCATCCGCAACTTCCCACAGATAAACCGACCCCCAGTGAAGCTGACCCTGCTGACATGCCAAGTAAGGCCAAATCCCGAGGAGAAAAAGTGCTTTGACCTGGTGACCCGTGAGTAGTCCCTGCCCCCTACACCTCAACTGGCCAAGGCTTCTCTAAGAGACCAGTCAGTCCTGGGAGGCCCCAATTAGGGCTCTGTGTCCAATTCCGCAAGTGAAAGTGAAAGTCACTCAGTTGTGTCCAACTCTTTGCAACCCTAGAGTTCTCCAGACCAGAATACTGGAGTGGATAGCCTTTCCCTTCTCCAGGGGATCTTCCCAACCCAGGGATCGAACCCAGGTCTCCCGCATTGCAGGCAGATTCTTTACCAGCTGAGCCTCCGGGGAAGTCCAAGAATACTGGAGTGGGCAGCCTATCCCTTCTCCAGGGGATCTTCTGGACCCAGGAATCAAACCAGGGTCTCCTGCACTGCAGGCAGATTCTTTACCACTGAGCTACTGGGGAAGCCCCAAGTGTTTATCAAATAGCCTACTACAGGCGTACAACTCCTTAAGCCCTAGACAGGCTATTTAAAGGCTTCACCCTATATCACATTAAAGATTAAAAGGCACCACATGCATGCATGCATGCTTAGTCACTAAATAGTTTTCTGACCACATGGACTGTAGCCCACCAGGCTCCTCTGTCCGTGGGATTTCCCAGACAAGAATACTGGAGTGGGTTGTCATTTCCTTCTCCAGGGGATCTTCCCAACCCAGGGATCGAACCCTCATCTCCTGCATTGGCAGGCAGTTCTTTACCACTGAGCCACCAGGGAAGCCCAAAATATATCTACACACCACTCTGAATATGATTATTTCTGTAAAACATATTTAAATGGATTTGGGTAATTTGGCTTTCAAAATTATTATTACTTAAAAATGTTCCATTTTCCTCGTTTGGAGTCTTTGGTGACAGGCATCTCACGGGGACCAGCATAGGCTGAGAAAGACCTAGATCTGATCCTTGGCGAGCTCTGCCTGGCAGGGGTGTGATGTGGAGACCCAGGACTGCAACGGGATGGGCAGTGTCCAGAATCCAGAAGAGAGGTGCAGATAGAGCCCCCTCAGAGATTAGAGGACAGAAGTCCTGCCCTGCCTGGGGGAATCAGGAAAGGCTGCTGGGAGGAGAGAGCTCTAGAGTCTGACCTTGAAGAACCCAGAACGTCATGTGTAGGGAAGGACATTTCGGGAGACAGGACCCGGTGTGGTGAAAGGCATGAAAGCAGGAGGGTGGACCCACCAGTTTAGCCAGGGTGCAGGGTTCACATAGGAGCAGTGGGAGATGAAGCCTGGGACTTTCTCTTTTTTAATTTATTTATTGTATTTATTTGGCCGTGCCAGGTCTTAGATGCAGCAGGTGGGATCTAGTTCCCTGACCAGGGATCGAACCTGGGCTCCCTGCATTGGGAGCGTGGATTCTTAGCCACTGGATCACCAGGGAAGTCCCTGGGAATACCTCTTAAAGATTTGGACCTTCTTTCCTGGAAGGAGGGAGCCATAGGAGACCGTGGAGCAGTGAAATGGCATGGGGCAGAACCTCGGGCCCAACCATCTGGCAGCTGGTGCAGGCTGGGGGGTGGGGGGTGACAGGCCAGGAAGGCCAGAAGGGAGGCTGTGGACCTGGGGCTGAGTGGGAAGGTGGCTGTATGTTCAGAGGAAACTCTGCTTGTGTGCTGAGGGGGGTCTTGTGCCCTGGGAAACGGCGCCTGACCCTGGAAGCTGGTTCACACCGAGGGTGGAATTGGACTTTGAAGGAGACTGCTGAGAAACTGCCCCCTCTGCTGGCCACTGTCATCACCCTCCCCTGGTAGTCTAGCCGAGCCTGGCCCCGCAGGGACGAAAGCTCCCTCTGGACCCAGCACTTGGGATGAGACCTTCCCGGGCCCAGGGAGGTAAGGCCAGCAGGATCCCTGTGGCCCAGACAACCTCTCCTCTCCCCACAGACAACAGGACGTACCACTTCCAGGCGGAGGACGAACATGAGTGTGAGGCGTGAGTGCCCCCGCACGGCCAGCCTGGGGGTGGGGGCTGGGGGCCAGCCTCCGGGCCTGGTACGGAAGCCCCCCAGCAACGGCGGCGTCATCCCCACGCTTGGCCCGCCCGGCTCCGCAGGTGGGTGTCAGTGCTGCAGAACTGCAAGGACGAAGCCTTGAGCAGTGCCTTCCTCGGAGAGCCCGGCAGTGGCCCGGGGCCCTGGGGTGCCGCCGGGCCGGACGGGGAGCCCCAGGACCTGACCAAACTGCTCATCGCCGAGGTCGAGAGCAGGCCGGGGAATGGCCAGTGCTGCGACTGCGGGGCTGCAGGTGCGGCGGGGCGAGGAGAAGCGGGTGGAAGCGGAGGGGCGGGGCCCACGCCTCTAAGACACGAGTGGCTCTATGTTGCAGACCCCACCTGGCTCAGCACCAACCTGGGCGTGCTCACCTGCATCCAGTGCTCGGGCGTCCACCGCGAGCTGGGCGTGCGCTTCTCACGCATGCAGTCCCTTACCTTGGACCTGCTGGGGCCCTCGGAGTTGTTGGTGAGGGCGGGGCGGGGCCAGACGGGGATCCGGGGTGGGGCCTGGTTAGGGGGCGGGGCTTGGGCCGCTTGCTCCCCAAAGAGGCTGGTCAGGGGCGGGGCCTGGGCAAGGAGGGAGGCTGAGGGGCGGGACCTCTGGAGGCTCAGTCTCTCAGGGACGGGTGCTGTCCTAAGCTCCGGGTCTCAACCCCATCACTTTCCCGCGAACCCAGCTGGCCCTGAACATCGGAAACACTCGCTTCAATGAGGTCATGGAGGCCCAGCTGCCCTCGCACGGCGGCCCTAAACCCTCAGCTGAGAGTGACATGTAAGGAGATTCTCAGGTGGGGGCGGATGCCGGCTGGGGAAATTCTGCTTCCCCAGAACCTAGGGAGAAGTCTGGGGAAAGAGAGGAGCCTCCGGGCTGGAAAAGTCCAGGACATGTGGGATGGTCTCAAGGGTCAGCTGGGTGAAAACAGTCCTCGCTCTGACATCCCGCGGTTATTTTTGGCAGGAGCGCCCGCAGGGACTATATTGTGGCCAAGTATGTGGAACACAGGTTTGCCCGGAGGTCCACGCCCGAGCCTCAGAGACTCTGGACAGCCATTTGCAATCGGGATCTCCTCTCTGTGCTGGAGGCCTTCGCTAATGGGCAGGACTTCGGACAGCCACTGACAGGGCCCGAGGGGCAGGTGAGACCCTTCTCCAAGGACCACTTACAACGCAGACACAATTAGCATATCCTGTCCTCCTCCGGGACTGGCTGTTACACCACCTGCCCCCACCTCTGTGTGTGTATATGTGTGTGTGTGTTAGTCACTCAGTCGTGTCCAACTCTTTGCAACCCCATGGACTCAAGCCCACCAGGCTTCTCTGTCCATGGAATTCTCTAGGCCAGAATACTGGAGTGGGCTGCCATTCCCTTCTCCAGGGGATCTTCCCGACCCAGGGATGGAACCCAGCTCCCCTGCCTCGGCAGGTGGATTCTTTACCATCTGAGCCACCAGTGAAGCCTGGGCCCCCCTCTGACATCTGCTCAAACCCCGCCCATCAGAGGGGTAAATGGGAGGGAGCACAGCTTCAGTCAGGCAATCTTGAGGCCAGATCCTGGCTCTGTCTTTTCCTAGCTGTGTGCTCCTGAGCAGGTTACTTACCTTCTCTGAGTCTTTTTTCCCTCATCTGTAAAACAGGTTAATGATAGCACCCACAGGGTTGAGGTGAGAATTAAGTCATGTATGAAAGGGCCTGGTGCATAATATATGTGCAATAAATGGTAGAATCTTTTCTTTTTTTCTTGAAAAGCCTTAGAGATGGGTAGGGGTGGTGAGATCAGAGCAGGGGAAGACCATCACATTGGTGACTCCAGTAACAAACATCACGTGAGCGGGAAGGAAAGGATAACACAGACTTTTGAAAGATTAAATGGACACTGATTGGGCATCAAAAACTGGGCGCCTTGTCTTTGAGCCTCCTGCCTGATATCTTGGTGGGGCTGTCCAGGGGTCAGGGTGGGTGCAGCACTTAGACGGGTAAGAATTTGGAGCAACTTACATGCAAATGAGAGCTGAGAGCTCAAGGTTATTTGAGGTCTTGGGGGCCATGAGAGGGAGGAGCAGAGAGGAGTGCAGGGCCAGGAACCAAGTTTGGGAAACACCTTCTCCTGGGGAAGGAGGAGGTAGAACCGCTGAAGGAAGGAGTGAAGGAATGGCCTTGCACCCCACTCTGAAACCTGAGGTTTCCCCATTCAGTCTCCTCTCACTGGGGTTCTGGCCCTTTCATATCTGGAGGTGTCAGGGGGCAGCAAGCGTTCAAGAGGGTAATGTTGTGGGGGCAGGTGAATTGGGGGAAACTCAGAGGTGTGGACATGTATTCAGGCACCTGGAGAGCTCGCCCTGCACCTGGCTGTCAGAGTCGCCAACCAGGCCTCCCTGCCCCTGGTGGATTTCATCATCCAAAATGGGTGAGAACCTTCCTGCCCATCTGCCCACCTCCTCATGCTCCCCTTTCCTTCCTCTTCTCCCCATCTCCTCCCTCCTCTCCTCTCCCTCTTTTCCCCCTGACTCTGACCCCCTCACCTGTCTGTTCCCTTCCTACCTCCCTGACCCCCCAACACCCGCAGTGGTCACCTGGATGCCAAGGCTGCTGATGGCAACAGCGCCCTCCACTGTGCTGCTCTCTACAACCAGCTCGACTGCCTCAAGCTGCTGCTGAAAGGGAGAGCCTCGGTGGCCACAGGTGGGGCTCCGACAACTCCTCCATCGACCCCCCATTCCTGACTACCCCTCATGGGGGACTTCCTGCCTTATTCCCAGATACAGAGCACTTGCAGAGTCCAAGCACTGCAAATGGACTTTGCAGACAGACTTGGGTCCTAATCCTGGCTTGCTTCTGACCACCTTTGTGATGTTGGGTTTTGTCTGTTCATCTCTTGAACTTCAGCTTCTTCATCTGTAAAATGGGAATGAGATCACTGACCTAGTACACCTGCTAAAAGGATAAAATAAAATGTTTCTGAAAGTACTTAGTCAAATAAACATTAACTAAATCTGAATAATAGTGCTTATAATAGCTACAATTTACTGTTTAATGTGTACCTGATAATGTGCCAGGTTTTCTATGTACATTAACTAATTTAATATTTACAACAACCTCATCAGTAGTTAGTATCATACTCATTTTATAGATGAGACAATTAAGGCCCAGAGAGGTTAAGTCACTTGTCCAAGGTCACACAGCCATGAAGTAGCAGAGCCAGGATTAAAACCCAGACAATCTTGATTCCAAAGACTCATCTTAACCTCTAAGCTGTAATGCCTCTTTGACCCTAACCATGACCCCTGCCTTTATCCCTCCCAGTGAACGAGGCAGGAGAGACGGCTCTGGACATAGCCAGGAAGAAGCAGCACAAGGAGTGTGAGAACCTGGTGAGATCTAGGGAAGGAGAGGGAGTCCCTGACCCCTTCTCTCTCCACTGAGCCCCTGGCCTTCTGAGCTACAAAGGTTTGTGTCTGGCAGCTGGAGCAGGCTCAGGCCGGGACCCTCACCTTCCCCTTGCACTTGGACTACCCCTGGGGAGTTTCCACAGAACCTGGCTCTGACAGTGAGGAGGATGAGGAAGAGAAGGTGCGTCCTAGCCTCTCGGGTCCCCAGACAGCCCAAGGGAAGAGTCAGATGGGCCCTCCTGTGAGGAGGGGCAGGGCTGAGCGTGGGGAACCAAGGCTATCTTCCCTACCACAATTTTGGCCCAGCAGCGCTGCACACTGAAGCCCCCAGCCCAGGCCCGCTGGACCAGTGGGAGGCTGGACATCAGCAACAAGACCTATGAGACCATCACCAGCCTGGGACCAGCTGCCCCTAAGAGCCAGAGTGAGGATTGCCCCCCACCTTTGCCAGTCAAAAACCCTTCTCGGACCATGGCCCAAGGGCGTGTGGGACTCGCCAGTGGAGGTATGGTTGGTTGCCCAGAAAAATGCTCTGATGCCATTCATTGAGGGCTTGCTATGTGCTGGGGGACTGAGCTAAGAGTGCTGTGTTAGTCCATGTTATCCTCACTATCACCTGGCAGGTAGGGGTTATCATCTCCCCCTTACAGGTAAAGGCAGAGAGATGTTAAGTAACATGCCCAAGATCCCACAGCTAAACCCTGATGTGGGCTTCAAACCCAGGTATGTCTTATTCCAGACTCCTCAGTGCTTCACTTTAATAAAAGAGAGGGAAGAATGTTTTGAGCATCCACTGTATCTCAAGTCCCTTGGGGTCTACTGAGACACAGACTAGAGAGGGAGATAAGAACTGGAAGATATGTCATTATAATATAAATGCATAGTGTGACATAGAACATAAATCCCTAAAGGAAAGAAGCAAGCTTGGCTGACTATTTCTCTAGCACCTAGCACAGTGCCTGGCTGTTGTCAAGAACTGTTGGTTGAATGAATGAGCAAGCTTGTTCTGGAAACTCAGGAGAGGAAGGGAGCCAATCCTGTTGGGATTGGTGTGAGGGTTAGGAAGGCTTCCTGGAGGAGGCAGCATCAGAGCTGAGCTGACAGATGAGCAGGAGAGTCCAGATTGAGGAGAGGGTGTGACCAGAATCAAAACAGTGAGTCAGCATGGCTCTGGCCATCAGGAATGAACAGCGTGAGCCATGATACTGAAGTGTGATGGGGAAGAGTTAAGTGTTAGAGAGGTGGGAGGAGGGGGGGTGCTGGGGGGGTGGGATGCGGATTTGGGAGAGAACCATGATAGATCCCCAAGGTCAGAAGTTCCTTTGAGTAAGTGATGAAGACAGGCTTTATCACTTCTGATTTCAGATCGTTCTGAAATCCCCAGCCTGAGCTCAGAGTCCCCTGGGGCCTCTGAGAACCTGAGCAGCCCAGCCTCCTCCTCCTCCAGCCTCACAAGCTCCGTGGAACCTGGGGTTCCCAACGAAACCCTACCCAGCTCTGAAGAGGGCCCCTGCGAGCTCCCAGGGCCCTCCCGCCCCAGCCTGACATCTGGAACCTCCCCTGCAGAGATGTATCCCCCTGTCAGGTTCAGGTTGGTGAAAGCCCACTGTGCAACGTAGCCAAATCTCCAGACTTCTCTGAGCCTTCATTTACTTCCCCACCTCTAAAGGGTGCCTGCCTGAAGCCTGAGCTGCCTCCCAGCTCTGAGGCCCATGAACGATGTGGAAATGCTAGACCTTAAGTGGAGGGTGATTGGACCTATTCCCCCCTTCACACATCTGCTTCCGAGTCTAGGGCTCAGGCTGGAAGAGTGAAGGCCTCATCCCACCTGTGTACTTGTTCTGGGGGCTCACAGTGGGGTCTTCACTCTATTCCCACCTCCAACCCAGGATCCAGTCCTCCCTTCCTTGCAGACCCTTTCAGTTTGGAGTTTGGGGAGTAGACATGGGGAAATTTCCAGTGTGGAGGTCAGTTCCAGGCCTCTGAGGCCTGTGATGGACTCCACCTGGGGGCCTCGTGGACTGTCTACCCAGCCATCCCAAGCCCCGAGCCTCGCTCTCTCCCTAAGCCTCTTCCCCCATCTCCAAGGGGCTCTCTGGGCACGGGGGTCACATTGGCCTGTCCCTGTCTTTCAGCTCTGAGAGCACGCGCTCCTATCGGCGGGGGGGCGGAGCCTGGAAGAGTGTCCCTCAGCCCAGCAGCCTGTACCCGGAAGGAACATGATGGTAGGATATGTGGTTTGCAGGGTAGTGACAGGATGCCTGGGCTTCCCAAATGACAAAGTGCCAAAGAATTCACCTGCCAATGCAGGAGATGTGGTTTCGATCCCTGGGTGGGGAAGATTCCCTGGAGGAAGAAATGGCAACCACTCCAGTATTCTTGCCTGGAAAATTCCATAGACAGAGGAGGCTGGTGGGCTTACAGTCCATGGGGTTGCAGAGAGTTGGACACAACTGAGTGGCTGAGCAGGCATGCATGCCCAACAGGGTGCCTGGGAGGCAGAGTTGGTCAAGAGTGAGTGTATTAGGGCGGGAGATCTCTCTCCAGCACTGGGGGCAGCCTTTGTTTGACCAGTCCCTTTCCTCCTGTTCCTCCTCCCCAGCTGCAGCCCTTGATGGGGGCAGGTGGGGAGAGCTGAGGCCTTGAGAGGTGGCAGAGGTGATGAGGCCCAAGTTCTGGCTGCTCCCCAGGAAAGGATAAGCAAAGCAGTGTCAGCCAGCCTGATCGCTGAGAAGAGGTACTGCTTCCCTGCAGATGAGGTAGGATTAGGATAGCTCATTAGATGGCTAATTAGGATTAGGATTAGGGTAGGATTAGGGTACCAGCCTTTGGTTTGCCAGACTCTCCCCTTGTACAGGAGTCTCCTGGAATCCGCTGAAACTTCTAGGCATTCAGGGAAGTGCTATCATCCTCTTGCCATGATAGCACAGCAAGCTAATCCAGCTCTTCCTGCTGAATCAGAGTCTCAAACAATCACACATCTTTAGATGAGAAGCCTGGGGGTGGGCAGAGGACAGAGGGAAGCTTGCCAAGAAGGAAGCCACCTCTGTTCCTGGTTCCCCTGGGGATTCGCCAGGGATGGCGTCAGTTGTCTGCGTTGAAAGTCAGGGATGGGAGGAACTGGGTCTCTCTGGGGAAGCGTCATCCTCAGTCCACCAAGGGCAGGCAGGCACCAGTCACGAATGTGTGTCTATGGCCATCATCGTCCATTATCCGCTTGATGCCCGTTGTTGAGAGGTGAGAATAAGGACCTGGGCTTTGGTGTGTGGAGGTCTTGGAGAAGTGGTGTTTTACTTCTTCAAACCTCAGTTTCATTCTCTAAAATTGGGTATTTCATTCACGATGATTTCATTTACCTACAACAGAACTGTTTGAAACTGAGTGAGATAAACAGCTGGGATATAATAAGTGCTTGTATGCGTGCTAAGTCACTTCAGTCATGTCTGACTCTTTGTGACCCTATGGACTGTAGCCTGCCAGGCTCCTCTGTCTGTGGGATTCTCCAGGCAAGGATACTACAGTCGGTTGCCCTGCCCAGTGCTTAGAAGATGTTGATTTTCATCCTTTCCTCCCCAGGTCGGCTTCCCTGAAGGAGACGGCTCGAGGACTGGGGTTCTCCCGCCCAGTTCTGTGCAGCTTTTGCAGGACTAGCTCCTTGCTGGCTCTTGCATACCTGAACCACCCTTGTGCTGAACCCCAGCATTCAGAGCTAGGACTTCAGCCCATAAGACTGAGGAGCTGAGGTGTTCATGCCCTGGGGATCTTGTTCTCTCTGTCCCTTGTGCCTCTGTGGCTGGCCTTCCTCCCTGCCATGAGCCCATGCCCCTGCCAGGAACACTGGGCCCTCCGTGTTAGGGCTGACGGTGGTTTGTTTTCCTCTATCTCATACCTGCCAGGGACAAGGGAACCCTACGTCTGGACCCTAGTGCTCCTGACTTAGCTCCAGCTGCAGAACCCTAAATCTTTCATCAGAGCAGGACTGTATTTCTTTCATCAGTCTGGGGGACTCTAACCCACCTTCATCATTCTGTAGTCCAGGGATTCTGCCAGACTAGGGACTGTCTTCTCAGTCATTCCTTAGCCTAGGATTCTTTGACTGAGTTCTGGCTCTTTGTCTATTCCTGGGCCAGGCACTGCAGGGGCCACAAGAATAAGCTACAGGTCCTGCAGCTGAGGTCCCTTTCCCAGCAGCTGGTCTCAAGAGTTAGGCTTGGGAACGGGCAGGGCCATTCCAGAGGATGGCTGGGCTCAGGGGCAGACTGACAATCAGCTGGCTTACACCCGAATGGTATTCCAGTTGTCTGCAGCCTGTTTCCATCCTGGTTGGCCAAAGTCCATGCTGTACTGACTGTTAAATAAATATTCTGAATATCACTCCTTCTGAGGGACAGCACAGCCTTGCTGTGGACCTCTGCTAGATCCCCAGCCAGGAGGGAGGGTAGGGCTCACCTCCGATTTGCCTACTCTCCTTGATTTAGCTAGAAGGAAAGGCATGGTCTAGGGTGATTATCATCACTTCTCTCCTGTTTCTCGTGGTCAGCTCAGGAGCCTTCCAGTCTCGGGGGAAGCAAAGGGCCAAGAAAGGAGAAAGGAGAGTGATAGAAATGGAGGGTGGAGACTTAAAGGTTCTGCTTCCTAGCACCAGAAATCCCACCATCGCTTTCAGGCTCATATTGGAAAACAGATACACCTAAGCCATCATCAGTCTCTAACACATCAGTTCTGTGGGCACTGGGTCCTGGCAGGGATGGACGGGGACAAGCGAGGGACACTGGAAGATGCCAATGGCCAACGTGGCAGCCTGGCCAGGGAGGCTGGGCTGTGATCCCACAGGAGCAGGGCTGTCTTCAGAGCCCCCAGTGACTGGTTTTATTCATCTCAGATCTGTTATTATTTCACTCATCTCTAATAAAGGATTTTTTTGGAGTAAATTTCAGTGGTTTCATTTATGTGTTCTAAAGAGCCATAGGGAAGGGGAGAGATTCTTAGGGCTTGGAATTCTTGCTTTAGACTTGGAAACGAGACAGCCTGGTGCAGAGTAGTAGATGGCAACCAGAGTGATTCTCCCCCCAAGGCCATATGGCAAGGCAGAGAAATCTTTTACTGTTCCCGACTGGAAGGCGATGCTGGCATCTAGTGGCTAGCGTTCAGGGCTGCTGCTCAACATCCTTCAGTTCACAGGCCAGCCCATTAAAACAACGAATTTCCAAAATGTTAATAGTGCCGAGGCTGGGAAACCACGGTGTGAGGGAGAGCACTGGACTGGGAGTCTGGAGACCCACAGTGTAGCTCTGCTACAGTCCCTGGTTTGACTTCATCTCCCCTGAGACAAGGATTGGAGAGGGTAGTTTATTTGTGAGGTGGTCCCAGGAAGCACAATGAGGAAGCAGGGATGTGAAACAGAAAGTCAGAAAACAGTGAATGAGGGACTTTCCCGGTGGTCCGGTGGTTAAGAATCTGCCATGCAAGGCAGGGGATGCAGAGTCCATCCCTGGTCAGGGAACTAAGATCCCACATGCTGCAGGGCAACTAAGCCTGCGCGCTATAACTACTGAGCCCTTGCGCTCCAGATCCCACGCACAACTAGAGCGAAGTAACTACAGAGAAGCCCCCATATCCCAACGAAGACCCCACCTGCTGCAACTAACACCCAAGGCAGCCAAATAAATAGATAAATATATTTTTAAATATTTATTTAGCTGTACCGTGTCTTAGTTGTGGCATGTGGGATCTAGTTCCCTGACCAGGGATCCAACCCTGGCCCCCTCCATTGGGAACACAGTTTTAGCCACTGGACCACCAGGGAAGTCCCCCAGATAAATAAATATTTTTAAAAAGAAGAAAAAAAAGCAGTAAAGAGTGTGTTATTGAGCAGTTACCACCATGAGAGATGAAGGGAACCGCTGACAGACTGTATTGATTAGAACATGCCTTCAGGTTGTCCCATGGAGACTGAAGAACTAGTGTATTTACCACCAACTCTAGTCTCTCGCCGGCTCAGGGATCCTTTCTAGGAGTTCCAGTTCCTAATTCTCAACTTCCAGGCTGCTCTGAAGCCTTCAGTCAGATGCGGGAAGCTGTCAGAGATGTGTTCAGGAACCTGCTCCGAAGAACTGACTCATTTGAAAAGACCCTGGTGCTGGGAAAGATTGAAGACAGGAGGAGAAAGGAACGACAGAGGATGAGATGGCTGGATGGCATCACCGACTCCACAGACATGGATTTGAGTAAACTCCAGGAGTTGGCGATAGACAGGGAGGACTGGTGTGCTGCAGTCCATGGGGTCGCAAAGAGTCGGACACAACTGAACTGAACTGAACTGACCTCCAAGGTGGATGGGTGGGCAGAGCGGAGGTAGTGGGTACCGACTGATAACGGCTGAGCACTGCAGTCCTGGCCCTCACTGGGCCTCAATCTTCCCATCTGTACAAAGAAAGGGTAGGACTTGATGTTTTCATCAGCGTCCCTGATGAAAGTCCTGGCTTCTTTTGATGTCAGTCAATTCACAGTGGGATTTGGGTGGAAATTTGAGGAAACTCAAATCTTTTCTAAGATTTTTTATGGGCTTTTTTACTGGGCTTTTTTAAAACGACCAGTCCTATGTAATTGCAGACAGCTGTCTCTTCAACCGAGAGGGGCTTGCTTGGAGGTTGGTCAAGACTGTTCAGTCTAACCTCTTAAAAGTGGCTCATAGTGCTTTTTATGATCAGGCCACTCCCTCTCTGCACACTCCTCTCACCTCTGTGGAATGGCCACACCAGTTTCTCTGTTTCTTTAACCCTGACAGGCCAAACACTCTCCCTTCCATAAGTTTTGCACATTTGGAATTCCAACAGAATTGATTTGTACCTCTCAGGATGTTCAAGGCTAAAAGTGCATGGCACCTAGTAGGCGCTCAGTAAATACATGTATGAGTGAAGGTTTCTTGTTCTCTCTCTCTCTTTTCTTTAATATTTATCAATTTGGATGTGCTGGGTCCAGTATTCTTGCCTGGAGAATTCCATGGACAGAGGAGCCTGGTGGGCTATAGTCCATGAAGTCACAAAGAGTCGGGTCTTAGTGGTAGCACTCAGGATCTTTGGTCTTCATTTCACCATGGGGGATCTTTTACTTGTGGCATGTGGGATCTAGCTCCCTGACCAGAGATCGAACTAGGACCTCCTGCATTGGGAGTGCAGAGTCTTAGCCACTGGACCACTGTGGAAGTCCCTCTTCTCTTATTTCAGCACTCTCCTCTGACCCCCTAACTCCCACTAAGCATGTCTGCCCAAAGTCTAAATTTCATTTCTTCAGAGATGACATGCCAAATGGTATAAAACCCCTTAGGTATGTCTGTAATGTATCCTCTATTTCTTTCTGACCCTTACCCAAGTTGTGATAACACAGAAGTGATGGTGTCCATATTTGTTTAAGGTTTTTCTTATCCAGAGACTGCCTCAAGCTTGCTGGGACTGGATCTGTCTTGTTCGTTGCTTGGACATTCAGTATGTATCTGTTGAATGAGTGAAAAACCCACCCCTTCCTATCTTGGTCCCAGGTCACACAGCAGCAGTTAGAAGTTTTAGCCCAATTTTAGAAATGGAGACCTAATTGGGAAAAATTTTGTTTATTTGGGTTTTATTAGCTCCGTCGTCCTGCAGAAGTGCATGAATTGTGTTCTGCAGGACTTCAAAATGGGGCAGGCGTATAAAGGAGAAAATGGCAAAGTTACAGTCAGTTACATGAGCTGTTTATCAGGAATTACCATTGGAGCTGGACAGAAGTAAAGGTGCTTATGAAGGAAAGATTGGTTGCGGTCCAGAATGGTTGCATAATTACAAGGGGAGACCTTGAGACAAAAAGGCTTGCAGCTGACAGGTATTGTTCTGAGCACTCTGGTGATGTTCTTGGAGCTCGTACAGCTCAAAGAGAGCTTAAGGGTTTTGTTTAATCTTTTTTTTTCCCCTTTTCTATTTGGCTGTACAGTACATGGCGTGAGGGATTTTAGTTCCCTTACCAAGGATTGAACCCATGCCTCCTACAGTGGAAGCAGAGTCTGAACTACTGGACTGCCAGGGAAGTCCTGAAAGTTCAGTCGTTGAATGGTGCAGAAATGTGTCTGATACCAGATCCTCAGTGGCCACCCAACTCCATATTTGTATGCCTGAACTGTGATCACGCTATTTTGATTTCAATTTGTCATCAGAAGCCAGATGAGTCCACTCTGTCATCCATTCTCTAAGGTTCTCTTAGGAAAGTCTCAAGAGAACACCCCCAGCTACAACTCCCCACACCCCACACACTGTGAACCATTTTTCCTGACTCCCCTCCAGGCCCATAAACACCCTCACACACACACTGCACACACCCATAGATCATTTTCTATCAATTAAACTCACTCGTTTAGGGAGGGATGTGGGTCTGCTGGGGGCACTGGAAGGGTCCTTCCACAGGAACACCGAAGTGTGCACAGCTGTGGGGGCACAATTTTGTTTCCAGACCCAATCTCCTTGGGGAGGCAGTGTGCAGACCATGAATAAATAAAGGGCACTCATGTATCTGGACCCAAAGTTCTCAAAGTCCGGCGCACTTAGGGGTGTCCCAAGCCCTCACCCTCACTAGAGTGCAGTTGTGGGACGAGAAATGCAAAACCTCGCTTCAACATACAAAAC